GGAGAGGCCCTGTCAGGGGAGGGTGAGGGAGGTGAGCAGCGCAGGGGAGAGGCCCTGTCAGGGGAGGTCTGGGATAGAGAAATGGTGTCTCATCACATGGTGAACCCTTCCTCCCTGTTTTCTGTCCTGTTGCGTTAGTTGTGAAGTTGTGTTTTGCAGGGGTTCAGGAGGATGTCCAGGTGCCCTGGCACTCTGAGGCCCACTCCAAGCTGGCTGCTGGTGGTCCGGGTCAGGGCCTGGTCCCCCTCCTGGTTCCGCCCGTCTCAGAACAGTGGGGCTGTCTGGAGGGGGACCCTGTCCCTTGCCTGGCGGTGTGTGTGGCCCTTGGCCGTGAGGGGCTGGGCTGTGGCCGGAGCTGTGTCTAGCTCTCTCGGCTTCCTTGGTCTGTGTTATTTTTGGCAAGAGCGGCTGCCAGGTTAAGCTAAGGCTTTTGTTTGTTTTAAAAACGGAGGCCTTGGGGCAGTAGATGAATTGGGAACTCTGTATGGGTTTTGAGTGCATCCAGGAGGGGTGACAGTGGGGATGGGTTGCTCCGTCCTATGGAGCAGGGACGGTTCCTGTGGATTCGGGTCTGCAGCCTGCTCAGCGAGGGGCCGTCTGCGTCTGCACGGGAGGCTGTGGAGAAGGGCAGTCTTGGGAAGCGGACAGTGAGGCCCCAACTTGGTGGGCCTCAGTCCCAAGGCTCAGGCCACCCAGAATCCCCCACACCCACCTAATTTTCTTCCATTTCTCTCCCTTTTCCTTTTTTCCTTTTTTTTAAATTTTTTTATTTTTTTGAACGGAGTCTTGCTCTGTCAGGCTGGAGTGCAGTGGCGCAATCTCGGCTCACTGCAACCTCCACCTCCTGGGTTCAAGCGATTCTTCCGCCTCAGCCTCCCGAGTAGCTGGGACCACAGGCGTGTGCCACCCCACCCTGCTAAATTTTTTGTATTTTTAGTAGAGACAGGGTTTCACCATGTTGGCCAGGATGGTCTCGATCTCTTGACCTCGTGATCCACCCTCCTCGGCCTCCCAAAGTGCTGGGAGTACAGGCTTGAGCCACCGCGCCCGGCCACCTTTAAACTTTTACTCATGACTTACAGTTTCTGCGAACACTGATAGTAGAGTCAGCTAGTGGTCCTGGAAGTGCGTTCTGAGCGAGGTGGTTCTCCTCCAATGCCACGGCCCGCAGGGGCCCCCTCTTTCTGATCCCCCTCTGCACAGAGGCCTGCCGGGTGGTTTGTGGGAGCCAACAGAAGTGCAGGCAGGGCTCTTGGAGGTGGCCAGCAGTAGCCGGTGTCCTTTCTGAAAGACGGTGGCATCATTAGTGATGAAAAATCGTGTATGATGGTTTGCTCTGTGCAGTGGATTTTTCCTGGTTGCAAAACCAAATTTTCTTGGTTTTCTTGGAAGAAGCCTCTTCAGAGGAAGAAATTTCAGTGACACTTAGAAAACGCAATTCCCAAGAGTAAGATTTCAACCCCAGTCCCCACTCTCACGCTTTTTTAGCCTGACTTGGTTTCTTAGGCGGTCAGCCAGTTCAGCCACCGTGCTGAGGGACGGGCTGGTGGGTTTCTGGCAGTGAGTGGGCCTTGCCCAGGGCAGGGTCAGATACCCGGGGGCGTCTGTGGCCAGAGCTCGTCGTGCCAGCAGCCAAGGGCCAGAGGTGCAGGAGACATCTCCACACTGGTCCTTGGGCCATTTTTTTTTTTTTTTAATCCTAGAGTTTCTATCATACAATTATTTTATTTTTCAAAATAGCCTTGAACAAGTAGCTTTTATATGTGGAAGAACTAAATATGACCTTCATGGTTTTTTAGAAACCCTTTCTGTAAAACTCAATCCCTGTAGAGAGTGGAGGAGACAGGGGAGCA